TTAGCATACCTGCATTTTTCATTGCAATATACTTTTCCTTTTTATTAAATTTCTTTTTTTTCAGTTATTGTAATTGAAAATTACAATAAAAATAAATGAATAAATAAAAACATAATATTTTGCATTACTGTAATTGATTAATAAGGGGGAAAAGATTTGTTTTAGGATGTCTGATTTTTCAATGCAGCATTTTTTCCCATTGTATTAATTCGCTTTTTATATCTTCAATTATTATACTTGTAAATTACTATAAAAATAAATGAATGAATAAATAAATAATATTTGCATTACTGTAATTCATTAGGGACAGAAAAAAATGTTTTGCATTAAAATATTTTTCAGTTATAGTAACTGTAAATTTCTACAGAAGAAATAAATAAATAAAAACATAATATTTAGCCTCACTGTAATTGATTAGCAAGGAATTAATTGTGTTTTTAGCATATCAGATTTTTCATTGCAGCTTTTTTCCATTTTATTAATTCTCAGTTATTTTTCCAGTTATTGTAATTGAAAAACATCGTAAATTTCTATCAAAATAAAACAATGATATTATAATATTAAATAATATCCATTTTATTAATATTATCTTTTTTTCAAGTTATTGTAAAACATTGTAAATTTGCTAGTAAATCAAACACTAACACGCTATATAAAAATAATTCAGTCTTTAATTAAATATTCCATTTCCCCCTAATATGTTAGTAAACATAATATACAGAAACTGCAAATAAAACCTTTTTTATTTACTGAATTATGATTTCTATGCGTTTATAAATTATTCAAATAATTTGGCATTAGAAAAAAAAAAGCTTATTTGTGCTTTGCTAGTAATAATAGTACTAAAATAAACAATTTTTAATGCAAAATATTTATTTATTATTATTTATTGATTTATTTTGGAGTGAAATATGACCTGGAGGTGCTCTTGGATGGCTTCATGAGGTTTACTTTCAGATTATACCACATTTAACATCTGCAAAAATCATTAATAAACACACATCAGACCCAAGATGCATTGTGAAGCAAGTCTGAACACTGAAGACTGGAACGAATTCTCCCATCATCCTCTTTAGTTTGCGGCTCTCTGTGATTGGTCAGTATTTTTCATAAGTTTTGAGCTACTGTTTGATTCCCTCTGTTCAGAGCCTATGCAAAAACTCCAGCCGTGTAGCTCTATGATGAATATATATGTTGTTGTTGTTGTGTGTGTGTGTGTGTGTGTGTGTGTGTGTTGCCTGTTTGAATGCTTTCAGCTCTTTATGCATTTAAATCTAAAGGAACTAAAGACTTGGGGGCAAAACTGTCTAAAAATAGATCATATTTCACCTCAAAATCAAACAGAAATATGGGAAAATATATTTAGCATAAAGGAAATCCAGATTAAGGGTTGTTTTTTTCATTATGACATTAATGTCTTGATGTTTTTAATCTCGGTTTCCTCCCTTCAGATGACTTTTGCATTGAGCCTGCAGACAATTCTGGGGGGAAAATTGGCACTTAAGGAATGCATTTTTTAATATTTGTTTCTGTCAATAAGGTTTTTATTGCCTGTAATATAAATAAAAACAACTTATGTATGCTTATAAGTATTTATAAATCATGCTAGTATTTATTTTGGCTGTAATTTGTGGTGGTTTTAATAGAAAAATAATAATAATATTACAGTATTTGTTACAATAATACAGTTAAAATGATTCGATTTACAAGCAGACTGACCATTTATTAAGTATTACAGTGATTGGATGTTTAATATTCAGTCTACTGTAATATTTATACATAATTCATTTAATTTTGGGGTGAAATATTGTGCTTTTTGCTGATAAACAGATCACTGCCACATTATAGGACAGATAGCTGAGGCTGGTTGGTTTACCGGCTCATATTTGTGTGTTTATGAATGTTTCTGGTGCAGAAGGCCAACGCTGTGTGATACAGCAGCCACAAAACAAGTGTGTGTGGAGTGTGTTTACTTGCTTTTCCTCATTTTACTCTTTGTTTGAGACGTTTGAAGCACAGCAAGTGTTGCAGCAGTGCCGAACCTGAACAACAGCCTGAACACACTCACACACACTCAGATACATGCATGCACAAACTCTTGCAGATAAAGTACATGTGTGCGCACATTCTAGCGGACAAACATACACACAAACATGAAGAAACAAGTCTGATACACACATTCATGCTAAGAGATACATACAGTTATACTAGCACACACACACACACACACACAAACAAACACTCAGATACATGCATTTATGCTTACAGATATTCACATACAGTTAAATAAGCACACACACACACACACACACACTAAACTCTGATACACACATTTATGCTCACAGATTCTCGCGTACAGTTATATAAACATGCAAACACTCAGATACACACATGCAGTTATACAAGCACACACACACACACACACACACACATACTCAAAGATATATAAACACATTCCTCCACACGCACACACACACACACACACAAATGCTCGCATACACACGTACACACACAAACACTTTGATGCACACATTTATGCTCACAGATACTCACATACAGTTATAAACACACACACACACACACACACACACACATACTTAAAGACACACTTAGATACTCTTAATTTACTTAGAGATGCTCACAGTTATACAGGCGCACACACACAAAATGTAGATATACACAATCATGTTCACTGATACTTGCATAGATTACCAAGAACACTCTAATGCACCACACACACTCACTCACACACACACACACACACACACACACATGTATGTCATGTATATCCACACACGCCATCACAAACAGACACACACGCATTTACACATGGACTCTATGTATAAACACACACACACACACACACACACACACACACACACACACACACACACACATATGAGCCTCTCCTCTGGTCAGCTGACTTTAACTCCTCTACATGCCCTCTGTGTGTGTGTGTGTGTGTGTGTGTGTGTGTGTGTGTGTGTGTGTGTGTGTGTGTGTGCGTGTGCGTGTGCGTGTGCGTGCGTAAACCGCATCAGTGTCTGCTAAACCCGTTTCAGTTCCTCCTGTGCCATAATCTGCTTTGGTCTCTGTTGGACTACTGCCGACCTCTGACCTCTGTGTTGACTACTGAAACTGCCAATCAGCTGTCAGGGTGAATCTCAACCAAACCTGCCATCATAATTAACATGAAAGAGTCAGACGTTCAGTTTCACGTGCAGAAATTAAACCTATTTATTTTAACTTCTATTGAACTTTGCTGTCTATATTCACACACATTTCCCCTTATATACACACACACATACACCAGTCACAAAAATGTCCATTTCATATACAGATGCTGTTTTGTTTATGCGTACTTGTTTATGTGGTTTACGAGGACAAATTGTATAATGCCATATGTATGACCTGTTGTGTGGAGGTAAAGCGGGGGTTGGGGGATGATAATGTAACGTGGTAAAAAAGGAGGGGGGGGGGTTGCAGAGGTAACAAGGACAAAAGTAAAGGGGGGGTTGATGTGCCGAGGTATCGTGGACGAAAGTGAAGAAAGGGAGGGAGGGAGGGGGAAGGGGGTAACGTGTGAAGGTATCGTGGGCGAAAGTGAAGGGGGTGGGATTTGGTTTGAGAGTTGGGGGGGTGCAGAGGTGGAGGTATCAAGGACGAAAGGGGGTGCGGATTATGTGCGGTGGTATCGTGGACAAAAGTAAAGGGGGGTAGGGTGCGGGGGTATCGTGGGTTGAAGTTAAGATGGGGGTAAGGGTGGGTGGTGGTGGGGTGGGGGTTGCAAAGGTAGCACGACAAAAGTGAAGGGGGATAGGGGGTGAGGTGCGAGATATCGCGGACAGAAGTGAGGGGGGTGGGAGGTGGTTTGAGGTAGGGAGTTGGGGGGGTGCGGAGATGGAGTTGGGAATTAGTTGTGGTGGTATCGTGGACAAAAGTGAAGGTGGGGAGGGCGTGGATTGGGATGGGGTAAGGGGTTGGAGGGGATACGGTGGTGGAGATATCGTGGACAAAAGTGAAGGGGGGCAGGGGGTGTATTGGGGTGGGGTAAGGGGTTGGAGGGGATGCG